TCTACTGTCTGTATTTGGTTTTGGGCAATATTTTTAAAAAGTAGCTGCATACCAGAATGGAGAAAAAGAAATGTTCGGGCAAACAGTGTATCATTTGTCCTGTAAAATACTTCATTAAATTAGTCTAATAATGGCTTTCCTTGAAAATGGACCCTATCTTCTGAGGATTTCTTCCTGAAGGCTTTCATAAAAGGGGAGAAAGTACTTAGATTTACTTGTCTTCCTGACAAAAGTTAAATAGAGTTTAACTGCCTCCAGCTGGCGTTACAGAAGTATGTATTAACCAGTTTTGGGATTCTGCATGAAATGGGAGACTTGAAAATAGAGAAGGAAATACTCCCATGTATTGTACATTCTCCATCATTACTGATAACAATTGCAGTAAATAATTATAACCTATTTAAGTCATCACTACGCAGAAACATAAATAAATTTCAAAAGTGCTGACTCAGTATTTCCAAAACAATGACAATGACATTAGCGCTTGTAATGAAGTGCCATTTTACAGATGCTTCCAAACAAGGAAGTCCTTTTGGTAGGATTAGACCTAGGAATTTCAGCTCAATATTTGGATGCATGTCTCAGCCAGGAAAATTCAGTTGTTCTAAGTTCTGTTGCTTTACACTATTTTTTTATACAATTTGTATTAAAACTTTGAAGTTGTCTATTTTATCGTTTATTCAAGGGCCACACTTAATTTTGTGTGCCTAAATCTCTTATCAGGTTTTTAAAACAGTGGCTTTGTTCATTTAAAAAAAAATTTTTTTTAGCGACTTGTTGTGGTTAAATTAGCTACTTGTAAGAGTTCATATTTTTCTTGCTAATGTAAAATATTTGCATACTGCATCTAAAGATATATAATACCTTATATTCAGTGGTTGGTCTAGTTGATCCTTTTTTACTATATTGGCATAGTAATGTTAGTCTTCTGTTTGTAATATTTTGTAAAAGTAGGCAGTGATATGCTTTTTTTCATTCGCACAGGAATGGCTCATAACTCACAAGAGGCAGATCTTTGAGTGAGTCATTTAGGTCATTCCCATTTGTGTGGGAAATTATTACATCATTTCCCTGTACTCAGTGTTCTATTTATACCATGCCAATACTTTAAGTACATTTTGCTTTTTTTAGAGGCAGTAAACAGTATTTGGGAAGGTTGTCTTGAAGTGAAGTTATTACTAGGCCATAGAAGGAGCACTACTTAAATATTTACAGAGTTCAGGAGCCAGAGGATCATGCTGTCTGCTAACTTGAGTTGGGGTGGAGGGGGATGTGAGTCATGGAAAGGATGGATATCTGCTTTCCTTGCACAATACACGCTAGATTTTCTTAATTTTCTACCTCTATACTCTTGAATGCAGTTCTGGTTCATGCTGATGTTTTTATATTCTTTGGTTTGTGTCAAAGCAATTAAGCATCCAGGGTGGATTTGATTTAAATCACTAGTCTGGAAGACTCGATTTAATCATGGATTTCTACATAAAAGTGCGTTCTTGGTGGTTATAACCTTAATACATATTCTTCGCAACTCGGATGTAGGTTTCATTTTTAGAAGGTGTACACTACATTTTTTTTAGTGATTTATTTTGAAAACTTTTCAGATTAATTTTGCAGCTATATCAGAAAATGGATGATTGGTTATTTCGTTTACCAAAGGTAAATGAAGCAGATACTTCACCTCCCAATGACTTCATAAATATCTCCAGTTCAACAGGTTAATCATTAATATTTGGAGGATTTTCTTGCCAGGCTGTATTAGGAGAACAGCATGAGAGAGACATTTAAATTTTTTATTTAACTAAAACAATGTGATATATTCTGGATTTTTTCTTCAATAGCAAACAAAAATATTTTAACAAAACAAGCATATGAATTTTTGAATTTAAACATTCGAGTTTTTTCAAATCAGGTTTTTTGTTAATTAAAATAGTTAAATTTTTTTTAAAAGAAAAACAACTTAAATTGACTGTCAGCCAGGTCAACATGAGAAACTTAAAATGTTGGCTCCTGCAGCTAACTCAGTCATCTTCACCTTCATTTTCCTGTTTGTTTTTTTTCATAATCTGGAAAAGAAAAACAAGCTTTCCTGCTTTTTCAGGTCCCAAACGATTTCTCAGTTTGGAATGAATTAGTCCAAAGGAAGAAAATATTCTTTCTACACCCGCAGAAGAAGCTACTACTGTTAAGTGAGGTTGTCACTTCAACAGTCTCTGAATCCAAGTGCTTAAGTGACTTCCACCAGTTCACTGGTGTGAATTTCTTTAAAACATCATCAGCAAACATGTATTTCTTGAATGGTTTATTCCCAAACTGGGTCTCTTTTACAGTCTGCTGCCATTATAGGCTTTCCCTTCTAATGAGAGAATATGGTAGATCTCAAATCAATGAAGGCTACACTCAGAAAGATCTCAAGACTTCCGGAATATGCTGTTCAAACAGTTTCACTTTTGTTTCTACTGCCTGTCCCTCCCTTTTCACATTTTTCAGAGAGAGGTAAGGGATTGACTCTGTGTACACAAATTTGCAGAGGGACAATAGGGTTGTGGTCAGTTATTTCTTACCTCTATATATTTGTGTTATTTATTTAAAAACATTTTTTCTGTTAACAAGCATGTAATCTCTGGAGACACAAAGCCACAGTTTGAGAACTGCAAAATTACGCATCTCTGATAGTATCTTCTAGACTTAACACCGAGTCCCATTGGGTAGATAAAAAGATTAACCTAAATAATCTATACAGAAGCCCCTGGAACCCCATAAGATTGGGTCCCTAATCCATAAACTATTGGAACTCCTTTACAAAAGTTTTCTTAAACATTACATGAATATATTTGTCTCATACTATAGAAATAGAATTTATAATCCCTGTTCCATAATGATATCTTGGAGCTATAATGTATCTTTAGATAGGATTTTTCCCTCAAAAAGCATTTTATCAAAAAATCTGATTTAAATAAATCAATTTTTTTTTTGTTTTAAAAAAATCATTGACTTTTATCCACCCTGTAAGCATCAAGGTGATGCATAGGTATGAATATAGTTAAGACAGACCACTAGGTACCTATTGGGTTGAACAGCTAAATAGGCTTATCCTATGTTGGTAAGGGAGAAATTTCACAAATAATTGCTCAGTGTTATCTAAAGATGTTTTTGTCTCAAGTTGATTAGCTTAATGAACGTCAGACATGCTTCTCATGGTCTTTATGAAGAAAATGTTCCTTTTACAAATTTTTTCCCCATGAATTTTGCAGTTGGGCCTATATCCATTGTTCTTCACATATTTCTTCTAAAGGGTCTTTCTGAGGGGAAGTTTATTCTTTATAACTTGGTGAACTGTTACTATCTCAGAGTACCAATGTCTTTCTCACTATTAGTTGCTTATGGTTATCACCACTCTTTTTGGATCCTTACCTAATGACAAAATAATTACATTTCCTTATACTAGTCTTGCTAACAAGCCTCCTTTTGAGGGTCTGAGCACTGTTCATCAGGAGTAAAAAATCAGACTCCAGTTTATACTAATCAGATTTCTGTAGTGGAAATGTATTATGCAGTCACTATAATTATATTCTAGATAATACTTAGCATTGCCTCAGTGCAGGGGACTGGACTAGATGACCTGTAGAGTTCCCTTCCATTCCTACAGTTGATTCTAGTCATATTTTTGCAGACATTCCCTAGACTTGAACATTAAAATTCTTTGGAAGGACCATGTTTTAGACTTTTCTCAGATTATTTGTATCAGTGTTACTGCATTGTAGATTCTTTTCTAATATTAAAAAAATAAAAACTGAGAGCTGGGCTACTTCTCAGGTCTTACCGAGTTATAGCTAAAGAATTTCTCCTTTTCTTATATGCTGGTGTTTTCAAATCTGGCTTGGTGATACTACTCTAGGAGGAGATTGGGACAGACAAGAGTGGAGCAATAGGGGTGGGAAAAGCTGTTAGGAAGAGACAACTGCAGTGCTCCTCAGACCATTACCATTTGCTCCCGTAACATGATGCAGGTATAGAAACCCAAAAGTGTATCTGAGGCAGACAGTTCAGTCACAGAACACGGGTTTGGCTCTTTTTCTTAGTCTGAATTAACAAAGTGATAACTTAAAGCACAGTACTTCAAAAAAAAAAAAATCATGCGTAAATATTCAATGCACACATTCTGTGATGCTGCCAGATGTTAGGTTAAGCAGGGTTAGACTGGGTCAGGACTTAGAGAATACGAAGGGTAGAATCTGAAGGATCTGCGGGCAGCGATCGATCCAGCGGGGATCGATTTATTGTGTCTAGTCTAGTTGCGATAAATTGAGCCCTTAGCGCACTCCTGTACTCCAGCGCCGTGAGAGGCGCAAGCAGAGTTGATGGGGGAGCAGCAGCAGTTGACGCCCCCTGGTGAAGACACCATGGTAAGTCAACCTAAGTACATCTACTTCAGCTACGTTGTTCACGTAGCTAAAGTTGCGTAACTTAGATCCTCCTCCCCCTCCCCCCCCCCCCCAGTGTAGACCAGGGTGAAGGAACATAATTGATGCTGCAAGAAGTGGTGGTGGTGATCTAGTTAGGTGACACACTTCCTTTCAAGTTAGTGTTTAATCAATGCCTTAGAAAGCCCACAGGGAGCAATAGGCTCCTGGAACAGCCTTCTTGAAACTAAAGTCTTAATTCCTTTTGGTTATTAAAGATCCCAGGGCACTCTGTAAGAGTAGGAAAGTTTAACCCTGTGTATTCTGGTTAAATACCTACACAGGTAATTACATTCTCCTTACTTAAATCCTCCCTGCAGTTTGAGTTACACCTTTTTTTACTTCCTGCTCCTCTAGTGTTTTGTAGAGTTAAATAGCTCCTGCACGTTATCCCAGAAGTGACTGTTGGTGGATGACATGATCCCTAGCTATAGCTGATAGCTCAGAGGGGTGCAGTCTGCATAGTGAGGCTTAATGAATGCAACATACTTTGAGGTAATGTGTTACAATAATGCAGATTATTACTTTTTATGAATTCAGGTGACCGGGTCATAGACGTAGGGTCAGAGTGGAGAACTTTCAGCAATGATAAAGCAACAAAAGACCCATCTCGAGTTGGAGACACCCAGAATCCGCTCTTGAGTGATGGGGATTTGACTACAATGATTGGCAAGGTAACATTTTAAAATACAAATGTTTAACATTTTTAATAAAATTTTATGTCAAGTACATATTTATATGGTAACAGGAAACCTATGCAGAGAATTGAATGCCATAAAAATAAAATGTTTGGTATAAACTGAATTCTTCACAATAACTACTTGTTATGGTCCAGATTTGGCAGTCTCCCCTCCTGTGTGGAGTAGGGGGTAGTAAGAAGGAATACTGGACTAATCGAACCTTCTCGGTAAGAAGTAAAACTCATTGATAGTGTTGTGGGGCTACCTACTTTGCTTTTCCATTGCTGCTGCTAAGGAAAATGCGGTTTAAAAAAATGACTGTGTATCCCTAAGGAATCATACATAGATTTAGAACTGCAGAATTTTTCACATTTGGAATATACCTGAAAATCCTTTGAGGCATCAGTTAAAATTCTGTATTCAAACTAGGCTGTGTTTCATGAGAAATATTGTATCAATTTAGTATTTAAGATGAGGAGAAAGATAACTGTATGCATGTCTATCACGAATGCTATCTAACTGTTCGTTTGGCATAACATTAAAAATACAAATTTGGAATTTTCCTAGTTACTGGTACTGTTATCCTACTGCATTGTACATGTGTAGGATTATAAAACTAGTCAGATGGAAGTTTAGTACCAGTTTGACAAAGTAGTGTGACCCACTTAGAAGTTTGCTATTTGTTTTGATATTGTAAACAATCTTCCCTACTTCATGCCCTGAAGTGCATTTTGCACTGTGAAATCCCAGTTTATACAGCAAAAGGTTTCCCACATTGTTAGTGCTGGTTGACCTTCTAAACGAAAATCTGTGATCCATCTTCCTCCAGTACACTTAAATACATTTCATGAGCTCCTAACTAGAACAATTAAAAAGTTTCAGTTCAAGATTGCTTTTTGAAAAATAAAACTTAACAATGTGATGGGTGAGCCTGTCTTATTAGGAAAGGTGTTCCATACCAGGTTTAACTGGGGAAATAGTCTTCCACTTTTGATTGACAGGCAATTGTGATTATCATCACTAGCAAAGGAAACCTAACTTGCAGTGATACAGTGAAAACTAGGAACATCTGTAACTAAAGCTTGGTATTCCTTTTTTAGAGACTACAAAATCTGAGTCCAGTAAAGAAAGTTAATTATGGGCTCTTCTCACATGAGAGGTGCCTTACAATGGTCAGCTCAATGCTATAGAATCAAGAGCACCTGGGATGAGGGGTGGTTGGTCCACCTTTCTCCTGTGTGGCTCATAATAGAAAATAATCCTGCACTGAGTCTGAAGTTTCCTCAGATGTTTGAGTTGCAGCAGTTTCTCAAGTTTCCTAAAAGCCTGAAACAGGAGGTAATAAAGTTTCTTCTTGCACATGAAAATAAATTTCTATTTTTTTATGATGATTTCTCCCTTGTTGTGGATAGAGAACACTTGTATTCTTTCTGGAGTGATGAGTTCTGCCTAAGCACCCAAAGATGTCTGAGCAAGTTAAGTTGTGTACCACTCGCAATGAATTTTATTTGAAGGTGTTAGCAAGGGAAGATTGTTGATCATTCAGAAAAATCTGAATTTCTGTCCATGATTTAAAGAACTGTTAGTTCTTTACTTTGGGAGCCATCTCATTTCCGTGTGAAAGGAGTTAATGATGACAGGGACTCACCATGCAGACATACAGAGTCAAGAATTAATTGAATGGCCTACAATGAAGTTTACTACAACAGCTGGTTTTCAGGCATTTTCTTAGTAATGAGAGCTTGGTAGTTTGACTCAGTGAAGGCAAGAAGAGGCAATAGGTGTAACATTTTGGATTTGTGTAACTAAATCGCTGTTCTTCCCTGACATTCGCTAGTCTCTGTGCACATTGCAATATATCCCTCTCATTGAAGGTGGAAAACTTTGACTGCTTCTTGAAATGTTCCAAATAAGTATTCTTCTGTTACGCATCGAGGTACAACTCTAATAAAGAGCAAGGTGCTTCCAAGAGAGCTATCTGACATTAGCTGTGTGGCACCAGAGGGGATATCTTAACTCAAGACTAATTACAAAGTAATCATTTTTCCTGCCTTTAAAAGGCAGCAGTGCTTGGAGATTTTCAGCCATGTTAATCAGACATGCATTGTTTGACAAAGGTGCTGTTTTCAATATGGTGTTTCCTTCAAGTCCTTTAACTTTTGAAACAATTTGTATTGGGCAGGAATGATAAGATTTTTCACGACAAGCATCTTACACTTACGTAAATTGTAGAGACATGGGGGGAAATGCATGTAGGGATTATGCATTGACATTGCCAGTGTGAGTAATCAAGTCTTAATTTTTTTAACATTTTTCTCAATTTTTCTTGGAGTGAGTGTGGGAATCCTTAGGGTTTTTTTCAGGCATAATGTTTGGTTTCTGAATATGGCAACAACTTAAAATGCTTCCTATTCTAAGCAAGCAGCATCCCACAAATTGGTTTTGGATCAATCATTATGAATTGATTCAGCCTTTGACTTCCACTTTTTTTGTGAGAGCCATCATTGGAACAAATTGTCACTGTCCTAATCATAAAACTTCATCTTTCCAATCTACCATTCAGCCAAAATGAGCTGCAGCACAGACCGAATGGCACTCGGGTATTAGTTGTGTGAGGCTTGGCTTAGTGCGCTTGGGCTTTAGCAATTGTAATGGGCACATCCAGTGTTCCAGTTCAGCAATATGGCTTGTGTTCATGGTATATAATAGTAGTATAATGAAGGTTTTGTGTAAGGTATCTAGGCATGCTCACTAAGGCAGAGGTTTAATTATGCTTTATTAGCCGAATTAGCTAGCAAATTTGTGCTAGTCCACAATGAACCAGTGGGGATGTCTAACTTCAGCAGTAAGGTTGTTTTAAAGGGACACATTACCTGTTATGTATCCATGTTTTCTTTTAGATTGAGAATGCTGGCAAGGTCTCCTGATAACCCTTCTCCCAAATCCTCTGATTTTCCTAGGAATGGAGATTCACAGTGGAGTTATGGTGGTATAGATATTACACGTGCAGTTTGGAACGCTGCTTGATTTTGAGATTTTTCACTTATGTATTTGTTCCAACTAAGTCTTGAATTAGAATTTTATAAACCTGGAAAATTTGTACTTGAAATATTTCAAGTATGGAATCAGGTTAATAATAAAATCATTTTTCAGGGCACAGGTGCAGCAAGTTTTGATGAATTTGGAAATTCAAAGTACCAGAATCGCAGGACTATGAGCAGCTCTGATCGAGCAATGATGAATGCCTTTAGAGAAATTACTAACATGGCAGACAGAATCAACCTTCCCAGAAATATAGTTGTAAGTTCGTGTCTACTTTCCTTAAATTGTTCTGGCATTGACTTAGTTAGCATAATATAATGAGCACATGAATTTTTGATATTGCTGCTAATTAAATGGCCTAGAGATAATTAAATTTAGTCTTCTTGCTTTAAAGGATCGAACAAATAATTTATTCAAACAAGTGTATGAGCAGAAGAGCCTGAAGGGAAGAAGTAATGATGCCATTGCTTCTGCTTGTCTCTATATAGCCTGTAGACAAGAGGGCGTTCCTAGAACATTTAAAGGTAAGTTTTCAGTTGTACAGATTAAAGATATTTATTTTTATTTGATAAATTTAGCTAGTATTATAGCAGTATGTTGGTAGGATCCAGAAATGGGGCTACAGTGAATGTTAATTTCAGCAACAGGCTACATTTGACTATTTTAATTACTTGAATAGTACTACTAATTAGGATTTTCCTATATGCAGCCCATTACTTCAAATGGATTATTGGGTTTAGCTATCTTGGAAGTTTAATTGTATTAAGGATATTCCTGAGTTACTATTTAAAATTCAGAATATGACATTTGAATACCACTGGTAGTATCTAAAAGGTGTTGCCTGATGATCTGAGCATTGCAAGGATTCATCCATCTACATTTGAACCAACAGCTCCATGTTTGAATGGAACTTGTTTGTTTTGTTTTTGTGGTGTGTGTGTTTTTTTTTTTTTTTTTTTTTGTGCATCACATTTGCCTCTTAAAGATAGTCAGACTCCATGGTCATTTGCAGAGCAGTTAGCAGTGGATTTGCATGATTTGAAAATTGTCTAATTTAAGAAGAAATTTTCAAATGTGGTATAAGTATTAACTGTTTACAGTGGTGGCCTGCTTTGTGACCATTCTTTTATAGAGGGGGGCTGAAAAATACAACTATGGAGAAATTTACATGCTTAAATTGGAAAACAAACATCACTAAACCTACATTTTAATTCTTTCTTTATTTAGAAATATGTGCAGTGTCCAGGATTTCAAAGAAAGAAATAGGTCGGTGTTTTAAGCTTATTTTGAAGGCTCTGGAAACCAGTGTGGATTTGATCACAACTGGAGACTTCATGTCAAGGTTTTGTTCAAATCTGGGTCTTCCTAAACAAGTACAGATGGCAGCGACACACATAGCACGTAAAGCTGTGGAATTAGACTTGGTTCCTGGGAGGAGTCCAATCTCTGTAGCAGCTGCAGCTATTTATATGGCATCACAAGCCTCAGCAGAGAAAAGGACCCAGAAAGGTAAAATCTTCACAATCCAGCTTTATCCATTGTTTCAACAGGAAATATGTAGGAAAAACTTAATTTAAGGCAAAGAAAATCTGTTTCACTGAAGTCTAAAAGAGCTTCATAAGCCACCAGTTCATGGGTGGACAATGAGAGACCCACAATAACTGACATTTTTCTCATGAAGCTTGAAATGTAAAAGTTAAGCACCGTTTAGCTGTGCTGCACAAATTGACTTCCAGTTTGTGTGGTTTAGTAATTGGGCTGTTTAAATTATGCTAGTTTTGAGTCTACAGCCACCGTTTTTGCCCAACTAAGCATTTGTACACTTACATCCTGCTTTGCTGAAATATTCAGAATGTAAACGTGGTGGTGGTGGTGGTGGTTGTTAGTATCCCTATTGTAATTATAAACCACTCTGGCAGCTGGGATGGGCTGGAGATTGCATCTTGGGTACGTCATCCCACCCCCCAAATCATCCTGTGTTCACAACTGCAAGGGAGGATGATTTGAGGCTAGTTTGTAGTGGACAAGAATGTCTCTTGGGTAAAGAAATCTCCTATACTTCAGCTCTGTGCTGTGCCTTTGTCTCTCACCTAGACTTACACAACTTGTGTGGTCTTCTCAGACTCTAAAATGCAGCTTGCCTGTCTTTCACATACACAAGTAGAAATGACATTCCTCTGCACTTCCCCCATGATCTTCAAACAATTCTACAGACCTTCATTCACTTCACTATCAAATTCAAAATTACCATCCTTATTTTTTAATTCATACATGAACTAGTTCCTGCATACCTCAAACTGTTTCCTTCCCTTACTTCCTCTGCTTGTCTTAACACTAGCTGCTTCTATAATATCCTCCCAGTGATTTCTTCTTCTGTCTCTTCATTTAGATTCACTGCAGATCTTAGCCAAAACAGTATTTTCTTCCTTGCCTTTACCTCTAGTTGTGGTTCTGATTTTAAATGCAAAACTCAGGAACTTGATTACAAAATGGTGTTTGAAATAAAACAAAGCAAGAGAAAATGGTTAATCCATGCTTAATTTGCTTCTGTTCATTCCTCTAGAAATAGGAGATATTGCTGGTGTTGCTGATGTTACAATCCGCCAATCTTATAGACTTATCTATCCACGAGCTCCAGATCTCTTCCCAGCAGACTTCAAATTTGACACCCCTGTGGACAAACTACCCCAGCTGTAAAATTGCTAAGGTTACATTTAATTTCTAAAGAACACTTGATTTCTGCCTATAATAAAGGATGTATAAAGTGTTGCTACTGAGCCTTCATATTGTGGAACTGGAGGAGGATATGAAAATCAAACTGCTGGAACACAGCACACATTCCAAGGGTAAACAAAATAATTGTGTGACATTTTGTATGTATATATTAGTGGAAGTAAATATTTAATGACTGTTGGAACAAGTTCAATTTCATATTATAGTTTAGATTTCTTTTGTAGGGAATCTAGTAAAATGTATTTTGGAAAACAATTGAAATTATGTAATTCCCAATAAACTTTTCCAAAAACATTTACTGCCTTGCATATTTTGCTAGAATGTGACATAGTCGGAGCAGTATAAGATTGAACATAATCTGGCAGATCTTCATACCAGTATGGGTCCTATCAAAAATACTTTCACACTCATTCTCTTGGCAATTTTTAATCTCTAGTGTAGTTTTAATATTTGTAGTTAGCTGCAATTTACAGTATGGTAGACTCAACCCACTGTGCAAATAGTTGCCCAAAAGCAGTTTGAATATTTGCACAACTGCTGCTGAAGGTTTCTGAACTTGTTATGAAAAGATTAGTCATTGTTGGCACAGCCTCCTTGATTCTCATTGAGGTCTCACCCTGTTTCTGTGAATTTCACTTAACTCTGAAGCAACTAGAAGAAACAGACTGAATTATTTGAATTCTTGGACACTGACATCTCATTCTACAAAAGATGATAAACTACGTCAAATACTGATACTGCCCTGTCATTTTCATCTATATCAAATTTGGCTAGCTGATAGTTAAGCTTTCAGCACTGATGCATTCTAAATTAGCACTTAGCATTTGAAATGATAGTCCAGGTGCTGAGGAGTTAAGTCAGGAGTTGTCTCCCCTCCCCCAAACTAATTGCTTCCAAAACTGGGTGCCTCTTGACAGTGTCCCTTTGTGTTCAAAGCAACAAATGTACTTCTGGTTTCTGAACTAATTTTGCATCACAGGTGCAAGATTTACTTTAATTATCAAAATGAACAGCTGAGGGGGTCAGGCTGCTACACATCTGGTCCTAATCCATCCAAGGCAGGGCTCTGTGCCCAGTGCTAATATTACTAATAGTGCTCACTGTTTTCTTGCTGCTTCAGTTTTAATTCCTTTCTCTCACTGAAGACTTGAAATGTGGCAGCTTTGTTTTTTTGTTTTTGTTTTTCATGCCATTTGAAGTCCTGACTACATGTGATCATTAGTTCCCATTCTATAGGAGTAAAAGGTGGTATCCTGCATATCCAGACTAACTGGGTGGAGATAAGTTGCATTCAAGCTTCATAAATTTTCCCTTGATTGTCAGTAGGTTGATAGTCTTGCCCCAGACTGCTGTTGTGTGCTCTTACAGTTCCAGTGCCTGTGAGCTAAACCAGGGCCTTTCAAAGTACTGAATAGTTAAGGTTCTTAACTGGTTGACCTGTGTTGTGCACTGTGTGCTAAGGTAACCTTACCAGGTATTGTGCTTAGTAAATGTACAGCAGCTTCTTTTAAGACTTGATTTTTAAAAAACCCAAGGATTGAAGCTGAGAGTACTGTATGGGCTGTCCCCTTCAAAGGTAATCCCCAGCAAAGTTAGTTTGACCTAAAGAAGCATGTTTCACAAAATTTGGGCATGAGGGAAGATATCCTCCAGCACAGAGCGAGGGTGTGGTAGAATGTTGACAACCAGAGAGGAAAAGTAGGAGCCTGCTTTGAGGATTGCTGTAGTGGCACTGAGGCAACTCCTCTAATCTACCTACAGGCCCAATCCCTTGTAGAGAGGAGGAATAATACACTTTACTGTCAGATCATAGGTGCTACGGAATAGATTTTTCTGAACTTGAGGGACTTTTTCTAGGCCTTGCAGCCTTTGATACATCATTCCTACTACAGGAGTAAATAAGGGTTAGCTGTAGACTATTTTCATCCCATTCATAAGCTTATCTTTAAAAACAGGCTCCAACTTGTAGACAACTCAGTTTTAACTTCAGATCCTAACTCCCATAGGTACTCTTGAAAGTCTTTTCTTAACCATAGGTTTCAGAGTAGCAGCTGTGTTAGTCTGTATTCACAAAAAGAAAAGGAGGGCTTGTGGCACCTTAGAGACTAACATTTATTTAAGCATAAGCTACATGTAGCTCATGAAAGCTTATGCTTAAATACATTTGTTAGTCTCTAAGGTGCCACAAGTACTCCTATTAAAGTAACTGTCCCCATTTATTTCACTTTCTGGACTGAGTGGTGCTAAAGAATGGGCCCAGATGTTTTATGGGTGGTGATTTTTAAATAAACACTACCTTTTCTCACATAAGGAAACATGATCTCTAGCTCTCAGGATAATCTCCTACTCTGGTCCCCTTGGGGTGCTCTTTGGAGAGGGGCTTTTTAGGTTCAGCAGGTAACCCATGCTCAGAAGACTCATGGTCCAGCTTGTAGAGCAGTACCCAAGGGAGGCATCTGTTTAGGAAAGAATGAGCATATACATCATGTGCTGTATTATCAATCAGCCTGATTAGTGAAGGGGCAGGATTCCTCAGCTGCATCACCAATGACCTGGAAATTTAGATTTAAAGTAGCTTATAGACACCTGTAGTATGAAGGCAGTAGGCATTGCTCATATGCTGCTAATTAAAATGTAAGTGAAAAGTTGCTACAACTTATTAAAATGAACAATGGTAAAATTTGGCTTTGCTTAGTCAGGAATCAACCATGTATAACACTTTTTTTTTTAAATTAACAGGAACTAATCTTTATATACCATCATCCCTGTAAACATTAAGCTATTAAAGGGTGCTCTTACACAGATGGTCATATTAGGCTCCCTTGGACTGTGTGCCAGTGTAAAGTAAGCAGCAATTAGTAACTAAGGTTCTACCAAAAAGTTTGGAGTTTTGTTCTAAGTATCCTCTCTTATGGTGGTTAAATATCAAATTCAGAAAAATCTGTGGGGGAGTGAAATATGTAAGTCACTACACAGTCAATCAGTAAAATCATATTTAGGACACAAGTTACAAACTATTTATACTTTAATTTGTGATATTAATGACTGCAAAACACTTCGAATGACATTGTTAAAGGCACATTTCATTTTAATGCATAGTGTACCATTCTAAAATATCCTAATTTCCTTACAAAGTGCTTGAGCAGCCACATACAGATAAAGTATAGCAAAATATATTTACAATCTAGTTAAAATCTTAATCTGCCTAAAAATAATTTTAAAAAACTACAGAGATAAAATTAGTGCTTTCTTTCAGCTTAACTGTGTGAACATACCCTGCCCTACTATTTTTTTTTAGTGATTTACTTTGATGAAGAAAAATTCTGTACAAGATGTAGTTACAAAAAGGTATTTCCCAGGGTGCTTTTTAAATGCTAAGCATCCTCTTTTAGACACTTTTCTCTATATATGTTTGGGAGCCCAAAAGGGTAAACAGACTGTACCTCAAAAGTATTGAGTGCTTAAATTTTTAAGTTCAGTTTCATTCGCACTTCAAAGATAATCAGCATCTTGAAACAAGTTAAATTATATTGTTCCCACTTTAAGACCTTCATTTAATAAACCAAAAACATGATTTCTATATTCTGTCCTGTTGCCATTCTTCCTTTTTGCCTAAAAGGAAACTGTCCTATACATTATTCAGGTCTATCAACCCATTTTCTCCCAGAGGCCTCATGGTTCAGGACTTCTGATATTTAGTGTTCTAACCAACAGTCATTTACTTACAAAAGGTTCACTTTTCAAAAGTAACACCTTGGTGTTTCACTATTCCATTCTTTAAAGATCAGCATGGTTTGTGTTTCTTTCGTATTTCATTTGGAATATTTAATTCCACAATCTGCACTCATTTGACTTTGGATTTTTACAGTCTTTGCTAACCATTTTCTCTCCAGGTACCCAGATGAACCTACAAGAGGTAAGCACAGGATCACATATAAATGTTATTGAGTTAAGGAAAACACTGAACTTGTTTCCAAGAGTGGCTGTTTACTTACAGAACACTGACAGCCAAAAATAGTTCTATGGAGGAGTTTAAAAGTACACACAGTATCTGGTCTAAACTATTTTTGACTTTTGAGGTACAGGTTTTAGTGTTGAAGTTTATAAAATATACACTTATCAAAAATATTTATACATTCTGTTACAACATATTGCTTTTACCCTCAGTAATTACCAATCTAAGTTCTGGAATTCAGTGGCCCAAAATGTATACAAATGTTAGTCTATTAAATCAGAGTTCTGTGATGTGTTCACATGGCCACTGTGCAAAATTCATGAAGTGGTACAATTAAATTACATGCCTGTAACTAAGAATGCATTACAACAACTTCCAAATATACATGTTCACAGCATGTATACATTCAAAACCTTTTGTTTTCTAAGATATGATATATAGTAGACAAGATGAACTAGATAGCTAAATATGGTATGATTAACTTAAGATTTGTCCAATTAGTGGAAAAAGGCTTGGATTTCAAGAGTACAGAAGTGGATGGACTTAGGAACACACACTATTGATAAGACTGAACAGACATTCTTATCTGCTGAGTCCTTTCTCCCTCCCCTCCCCCCTCCTTTTCTTTTTTTAAGCCATGCTTAAAAGCAAAAACTGTTTTGGCAAGTGGCTTTGGTAAACTTTCAGGACCTGTCTGTGTTTGTTTTTATGGAAGCACTTTTACTGTTCTCTCACAAAGGCAAAGGCATTTAACACTTTTTTTCTAATAAATACCATAGAAAATTTACAAAACAAGGCATCAGTTCTTAGTTTCCATTTTAAAACAAGCTGAAAGTGTGCATAAGTCTAAAATTAAACATTTTTGGACATTACAGTAATTTTTTTAAAAACTGACCATTTGCCTTCTCCAGATAAAAACCATATTCTCATGAATGTCAACAGCACCCCAAACTTCTATTTTAAGATGGCTGAATAAAATTAAATGGTTATCAATCTAGCTCAAAATCTCCCCCCCCCCCTACTTAAGGCATGTATTTTACAATGTTATCTGCTGTAGAAAAGTAAAAATTACAGTACAGATTTAAGTGTGTCCATGTGAGAGAGCTTAATGTGGCCTGTAGTCACCAACTCAGCTTAAATGCTATAGAACTGTTTTCCAGTGCTCAGATAAGTATGACATGGAGGCCACTCTTCACAAGAGTATTAAACAGTACACTAAATCTTCATGTGAATAAAAATCAGAAGCTACAGGTGGCACAGAGCAATTGAAGGGTTGGTATTCTTCTGAGCCGGTTAGCTAGGATTTCACAGTATCTAGAAATTTAACACCAATCAGCAA